GAAGGAAGGGTGGGTCAGAAGAAAGGAAAATAATCAAAAAGTGAAGTCATTGTAACCACTCAAACCACAGAGTAGCTGAGAGTGAACAGGACACCAGCCGCAACTTTTAAATGCTGTTTCAGGTTCTCACTAACATGGGAACATGCTTCTAATAGGACATAAAGGGGAAACCAAGATGCAAAATAGTGTTATGTGTCACCATTTTAGCTGTGTAAAGTAGTACATAGAAAAGAATTTAAAGAAAATAAATCAAAATATGAACAGTAATTACCCTGCTACAGTGGCAGTTGATCACTCTTTTCTTACTATCATTTTCTACTTTACAAATTGCCTACAAGGCCATTGCTTCTGTAACCAAAATATGTAACTAATAATATTAATAATAAGGAATAAAAATCTGCTCTTACTTGCTTGATGGAAGCCAGCAGCACCAGAGCGAGGAAGGGCCTCCCAGGGGTCCAGAGCTGGTGAATCCGGTGGGAGGGGAGAGGGCTGGTCCCCTGGGTCTCGGGGATGCCCATGGGTCGCGCCTGCACCACTGGCAGGGGCCCTTCTCTGCTTCTCCCGGGCACTGCCCGGCCAAGTTGGGGCTTCATCTTCCTGGCGCCCTTTCACAAGTGCGTGCACATCCCTCCAGCAGTCCGAGATGTACTACAGGCTGAGGCCTCCTGCATTCCTCTTTGTCCAGAGAGGAAGTGTTTGCACAAGTCCTCTACATGCTGCGCTGTGTCTGAGCTGCTCTAGAGCGATCTACCGAATCTCCAAGTTTCTCATCCCCCGCCTGCCCCTCCTAAAATCTGGGAGATTTTTCCCAGACCTTCTTCAAGACGGCTGTGTGTCCTGGGACTTCCTCAGCGGGCCCAGAAGAAAAAGTCAGGCATGATTTCTATCCTAAGGATTCTGCTCAGTGCACTGGACCTAGGTGAAGTTTGGGCAGCTGGGGAGGATGGGCCTGAAGTTAGTTGCCAGGTGGGTGCTTTTAAGGGGGCATTTCTAAGGCATCAAGCTTTCCTAGACTGGGATGGGGCTAGCCACAGAGGCAGAGCCTCCTCTGAACCCTGATATGCCACCGTTACAGGAAGGAGACAGCATCTCCCCACCCAAGGACTGCAGAAAAAAACCTATTCAGGGATAGGTTAGCCCCACACAATAGCAAAACAAAGCATGGAGTGCTGTGATGCTCCCTCCTCTCGAATACCCATTTGTTTTGAGCAGGCATTGTGTTGTGAACACAACTTGCTCTGCACACCTGGCAGATAGTTTACAATATCTGTGAACCATACTTACTAATCAACAAATTTCTACTTCTCACATTTGCAAAGCCTTTCATCCCCTGACCTAGTTCATTTGAACTCATAAGTAACCCCTCGAAGGCACAATTGCTTCTTCATTTGATGACTGAGAAATATTGGGGTTCAGAGAGGTGAGGTTGCTTGTCCAACAGCCACACAGCATGTCAAAGGCAGAGCCAGGTTGCAAGGGTCAGTCTTCTGGCCAGAGGCACCTGACTACAGCTACCTAGTCAGGAACCACTCCTCCTGCTCTCCTCAGAGTGAGCTCCTGTTCTCTAACAGGCCCATCTCTGCCCCGAAGGCTCAGTTTGGTACCCCTCACCCCACCTCTCCCTGCCAGCTCCCAGCACCCTCTTCTAACTTTCCCAGCCTCCCAAACTGGAGGTTTTGGTGGAAGGTGACCTGATGGAATGAAATGTCAGGACAAGAGGCAAGAAAAGTAAGTTTCCAAGCCTTCTCTTCCTCCCTCCCTCTCTTTTCCTCCCTTCATTTTTTTAACATTTAGGTCAAACCATAGCTCATCTTGGTTAACATTAAATGCATTTAGGGAAAGCAGGTGAGTACCACTTAACAGAAATCCCCATAAACCTTAAAAACCCCATATAGCAAGACTTCAAACCTCAATAGTAAAATGTTCAGTCTGAACAAAGAGCTCCCAGATGGGCTTTTATGGAGATGTGTAGAGTCAGCATGGTCATCTCATTGGCCCACAGAGAATGGGATGAAGTGACAGGGAGGGAGGGAGGTCCCCATGTGATAGGCTGTGGTCTGTTGAATGTGGCTATAAAGATACTCCGTGACTGCAGATGAAGGACAAGCCTCCAGGTTGCATTCTGGGAGAGCATGTCTACTCTGCGAGCATATTCCATCTCATTTCTTTGAATGTTTCTCAAAAACATTTTTAGCACATGCTTTGGTCTGCACACAATTTTTCTACCTGTTGGATGGATGCCATCTAGTGACAAAATATGGTAAACCTTCTTTCCATGAGAGCAACTACTGGACTCAAATCCTGTGGTTCCTAAGGCCTTTGAGAGCATAGAGTACATGTCCTCGGACTCTGAAACAGGGAAGAACAGGTAGAGTGAGGCTAAAGCAAATGTTGCTGCCTATTTGCATCTGGAGGTCTTCAGAATGACCCAACACGTGATCAGGAGCCTACAAGTTTCTGAGGCCACACAGACTGTTCTCTACTCACTCCAGTGTTTTCTGCCTTTAGGCTTTATTACCTTTCTTACGTAGCTTTTTACTTTTCCTAGAGTTTCTAATTGCCTTTTCTTTTCCCATATTCATAGTATTTGACTTGTTTCTTGGGTTTGTTTTATTCCTGAGACTTAAATAAAAGTCAGATTTCTCTGGGAGGCTCCACATCCCTTCCCAACCCCATCCTGGATGTGACCATCAAGGAACAGTGTCTAGCTTTGCCCTGTCACACATCTGAAAAGCTGCTTAAGGGTCTTCAGCATCAGTGCTCCTGCCAGTGACCCCTCAGTGGGGGCATGAGAGATGGTGCTGAGGGCTCTGTCTGCTGGCTTTGAGTCCCCAGGACGGTGATATTTTTGCAGCAGGTGGAGCACGTGTCTCTCCCCATTCTGCATAATACATAGGTCCTGAGGCAAACTGCCCATAGCTTGCATAGCTTGGAGCCTCCAGAATAAGCCCCTGTCTTCTGTAGTCTCTTTCCTAGAACTGGGCAAGAAACAGGCCTAATAAGTCCTCAAGACCCATGTTCCTTACATGCTTAGTCTTATATGCAGATCCTAATAGTTGATATGTACATGTATGTAAACAAGAGGTTGTGGAATAGATTATAAAACCAGATGGGGAAACAAGAAGTGTTGAGTTGGAGGAAAGGACAAATGGTCACATGTGCCATGGACTTAGAAAAGAGGTTACTGGGGAAATGAGGACAGGGGAGGGGTGAAGAAGAAGGTGGGACAAGAAACATTAAAAACAAATATCATAAGGAAACCTAATTCTTTGTGGACTAATAAAGTTTAAGATTCCATGTTGTAAAATTTAGCACTGAGGACCCTACTCAATTGCAGAACTTAGGGTGGAGCTGGCTCATCCAGTGAAAACCAATGTCCTCTACAATAGCCTGAGGGGAAGCAATGCAGGCATCTATTAAGAGATAATGAACAAACAAAGTGTGATAGAATAAACACAGCAGAACACCATTCTGCTTTAAAGACACTTTGGCTCATGCCACAACATGATGGAGTTGGAGGACATTACACCATGTGAAATAAGCCAGACTGAAAAGGACAAATCCCGTATGCTTACGCATCTATGAGGCTTTGCATAGAAAGTCAGAAACACTGGTTGAATAGAGGCTGCCAGGGGCTGGGAGGAGACAGAATGGGGAGCTGTTTAACGGGGACAGAATTTCAATTCTGCAAGTGGAAAAGAATTCTGGAAGGGGATGGTGGCAATCGTCACACAACAGTGTAACTGCTTAATGCCACTGAACTGTATTCTTAATGCTTAAAATGGTAAGTTTTATGTATATTTTACCACAAAGCTAGAAAATAAACCAATGCCCCTTGCACATATCCATCTTGGGGAGGACTGAAGGGCTGGCTCTTGCCTTTCCACAGGAGACTGTCTCGGGCCACAGTATTTACATGGACAGACGCTGCAAGCTCAGGTTCCCCTGGGGGAGTGTGAGGAAACTGTATCAGGATGCCAGATGGCAGGACTGGGGAATGGGGGCCAGGATGCAGCAGAGACAAGGGGATCCCAGCTTGTCCTGCTTCTGGAAGCCTCATTCTGCCATGGTTAGGGCCAGGTGGCAGTGGGTGTTGACTCTCCTCTCCATCTACCTGGCCCTTGCCATCTCCCTCATTGCTATGGGCAGCAGCCACTGGTATGAGGGAACCCAGAGGATGACACTACCACTGTGCCAGGACCCCTTTGTGGGGGTTGAACTGCATTCACTTCGGGAGAACCAGCAGCAGCAGTGGCAGAAGACGTGATGACCAGGCTGTCCAGTACATCTGGGAGACAGGGGATGACAAATTCATCCAACGAATGTTCCATGCAGGGCTCTGGGAGTCCTGTGAGGAAATCCTCAGCAGCACAGGTGAGTGCAGCCTGTGGATCCCCAGGGTGGCGGGGGCAGTGTGGTGGCCAGGAGCAGGGGCTCTGGAGTCAGACTGTGTGAGTCTGAATTCTGGCTCTGCCGTGGACTGTCTCCTTGAGCAAGTCCTTCACTTTTAGTATCAGTTTTCTCATTTATAAAATGGGGACCTTTGAGATGCTTATCCCCTAGAGTTAGTGTACAAATGAAGTAACTAGTGAACTGCGCTAGTGTTTTACCATTTGTCTCTGTCACCAAAACCCTGAAGAATCAAAAGTGACCCTCACCCAACTCTAAACTGTATCCCTAAAATTTCTCTTGCATTTTTTATTTTTTTAATTTTCTGTGTGTGTGTGTGTGTGTGTGTGTGTGTGTGTGTGTGTGACATGTGTGTGAGTACTCATAGAGGCCAGACGAGAAGAGAGTGCTAAATCCCTTGGAGCTAGAGTAATAGACAGGTGTGAGCTGCTGATGTGGGTGCTGGGAATCAAATGGATCCTCTGCAAGAGCACCCGGCACTTAACTACCGAATCATCGCTCCAGTCCCTTCTTTTGCACTTTTAAGTGCAAAAGGTTATCTTTTTCTTTCTTTTCTTTTCTTTTCTTTTCTTTTATTTCTTTTTTTTATTTTTTTTTTTTTTTTTTTTTGGTCTTTTTGAGACAGGGTCTCCCTGCAGCCCCAGCTGGCCTGAAATTCACTATGTAGACCAGGCTGGCTTTGAGCTCACAGAGATCCACCTGCCTCTGCCGCCTAAGTGCTGGGATTAAAGGCATGAGCCACCACACCCGGGCAAAAGGTTATCTTTAAAAACAGGCTTTTAGCATTGTTAGATCACCTACCACATTTATCACAAGCACAGCCCTTAACAGGTTAGACCTTCATCTCAGGCAATCCTTGAAATTAACCTGCAAAGTAGATACCATTCCTACATTCCTACAACTCACAAGCAGGTAAACAGAGGCTCAGAGAACTTCGACTTGCACAACCCTTTCCTATCATATTATTCAACCCCAACTCATCGGCATCTTCTGAGCTCCCATTGGTTTGAAGGTGGGGCTTTGCAAAGCAAATAGTGAAGAAAGGAGAATGAGAAGACAGGAGGGGAAGGTTAGCATATGGAGCACATTTCCCAGAAAAGAGCATTAGCAGTGAAGAGGGAGGGATGGATGCCACCCTTGTTTTAGGTAGGCTGACTGTAAGCCCATCCTCAGGGTTAGGGCATGTGCCTCTTTGCTTTGAAAGCAAAACTCCCAAAGGCAAAAAGGGGAGGCTGCCCCAACAGTCCCCATTTCTTTCCTTGATGTTGAGCTTACTACAGTTCTTGTACAGATTTTTATTTTTTCCTGGAGTTTCTAGTTTCCTTTTCTTTTCCCATCCTCATGACATTTGAAAAATGATTCTTGTGACCCGAGCAAACAGCAGTCAGAACCAACGCTCTGAGATACAGCACAGCCATGTCCAGCCCTCCCCCGATGGGGCCACCAAGGGCCAAACGCCCTGCTTTAGCCTCCCATGCATCCAGGTCAGCGTGGGCGGCCTTTGCTTTAAGTGCCGTGCAGGCACAGCAGTGATACCTGCAGCTAAGACTACTGGGGTTAGGGGCTCCCAAACCCTCTCTTCTTGGGAATGCTCTTCTGTAGAAGTCCACACTCTTAAAACCTTCACATGCAGTTTCAAGAGGCTGGTGACCCTGTGTCCTCAAGGCTCCCAAGATAGTCCCAGAGTTTTGTTTGGAAACTGTAGGCACCGCACCCAAAAGTGAATTGCTTAAGAACTTTTATTCCCTTTCCAAGTCTGCATCTGAGGACTGCTGGATGACGTCTCCACAGCTGTGTATAATGTGAATACATGTTATCAAATGGTGTGAATTAGACTCACCCTGGGAGCTTCAAAACAGCAGGCACACAGCCCCAGAGGTTCTCACTCAATAGGTCTGGATTGGAGTGTAGAAATCAGTCTTTTTTTTTTTTTTAAGTTTTAGCTGAGGTACTATTTATGCACAAATAAGAGGTCAGCTCATTCTGAAAGGCTTACAAGTAAAACCAACATCCCCTGTCCCTTCCTTGGCTCTTTTCAAGGGAAACTCCTTTTAATTTGTTTCCATATGAGAGAACAGAAGTAGTTGTCTTCATTTTAGACATTTTCTATTGACTTAATGTTATAATAAACAGAATTTCACACTTTCTCAGGACAGTATCCCACATAAATTTTACCATCTTCCTAGGAAAGTGCTATTTCTGTTTTATTTAAATCGGTAAACCAGTAATTTGTTTTGACCATGTTGCTCATTCTAGCATCAAAAAGATGTATTTATTATATGTACCACTTTTTGGTTTTCCTGGAGTTTTGGGTTGCCTTTGCTTTTCTCACCATCATTAGTAGTAGTATTTTTATGCTGGTCTATTCTATCTAGAAGCAGCCATATCTCTTTTTATTTTTATTTTATTTTATGTGAGTATATTGCCTGCATTATGTAAGTGCACCCGTGTTGTGAAATACCTACGGAGGTCAGAAGAGGGCATCGAATCCCCTAGAACTGGATTTAAGAACCATTGTAAGCTGCCATGTGGGTGCTGGGAATCAAACCTGGGACTTCTGCAAGAGCAGCCAGTGCTCTTAACCACTGAGCCATTTCTTCAGTCCCAAAGTGTCCATATTTCTAATAGGCTTCCCTGGTGACTATGACATCCACTAAAATGAGAGATTCATGGCCCAGGACACAGAAAAGATAGAAGGCAATCAATGTATTATGGAACATATTCACTAGAAAACATTTCTGTGCCAGCACAGGGCTAGGTGAATGTGAGAATTTAACAGAGAAGAAGTCACAGTGCTGAGAGCTAACATTCAGTGGAAAATGTCTAACAGAAATTGAAACAAGGAAGAACAGAATGATGATTGTAATGGAGGCTCATCTGCAACGTGGTAATGGAAATGAAGAACATGTCTAGGTGTAAGGAAGGCTTCATAAAGGAGGTAGCCACTGTACCAAGCCACCACATCTATTTCTGGCATGTATGTGTCTGAGTATGCTTATGGAGGAGTGGGAGAGGTATTTATGTATATATGTGGTGACCAGAGGACAGCCTCGGGCGTCATCCTCAGGAAGTGCTGTTGTTGGCCTGGAGCCTACCAATTGGGCCAGGCCTGCTGGCTAGCAAGCCCCAGGAAATCTACTGTCTCCATCTCCCCAGCACTGGGCTAACATTGACCTTGGTATACTATTTGTGACACCAAGGACAGGAGGGGTATCAACTTGAACTTTAGGGTATGATAGAAAATTGGAGACATGGGAGCTGCTCTCCTCACTGCTTTTCATGTGAGGGAGACTACCTTAGCTGGACTTGAAGAAAGGTGGGTGGAACTGGACAGTTAGGGAGGTCTAGAAACAGGTGCCAACTGGTGATATCCATGTCATAGGGTGTGTGGCCCATAGTCACAGCAACACTAGGCTGGTAGTGGGTACAAACTATCCTCAAGACTTCTGACAAAGAGTTGTTACCCAGCTTGTATGTATGTGTAGGTGTGTGGGGGGGGGTCTTTCTTAGCCTAGAACAGGAGCCTAGATCAGAGACTGTGTGAGGCTCTTTTGGACTCCTTCCTCTAGAGGAAGCCCCCATGCCAGCCTAAGGAACACACATACACATGCATGCACACACGCATGCATGCACACACACATACATGCACACCCCCTTCATTGGAGGGTCTGTCCTACATCATCTAGACACATGCTGAATTCTAAGGAGAGCTAAATGCTCTCAGTGATTCATGCTCAATACCAAGTGGAAATAAAGGGTGGGTTTTTTGACTCCATCCCAATTTATGTTCATCTCTGTTCTTGAGTTCAAAATGGAAAGAAGCCTTAAAAGGGGCCTTATTGGATGCTCCTAAATTCACTCCACAGAGTTTCTTTCCAGATGGTCTCTGTAGAAAATAAACAAAAAAAAAGATTTTGTTTTGTTTTTGCGTGGGGGGAGGAGGGGGCGATAGGGTCTCACTGTATGACCCTGGATGGCCTGGAGCTTACTATGTAGACCAGGCTGGTCTTGAATTCAACAAAGATCCACCTGCTTCTGCCTCCTTAGTACTGGAATTAAAGACATGCACCACCATGCCCAGCACACAAGCAGTTTTGATGTTCAGACAAGTCTGGATGGAAATTATTGCTTATGTTATTCTCTTCTTGGAAACTCAGAATCCCATTAATATATGAAAATATCTAGGAATTTCTAGAAACCTGATTAACATGACGTATCCCAGTGTTTTCCAAAATTCATTAACCACAGAAGAAATGTATAGAGTCATATATAGTTATAGTTATACTAGTTACATGATAATATAAGGTAAGAAAACTGAGTCATGCATGCTCAAGAGCCCCGTTCCATATTGCAGCACTAGATACTGATGAACTTGGACCTTGAATGCAGGAAATCTTTGCCCTGACCATGTACCACCCCACAGTTCCTATTAACATGGCTAGAGGGCAGCCACTGTAATAAATGTCGTGAATACACTTTTGCTCATGTATCTAAAGCTCCTCTGCTTACATTTCACATAGCTATAGTATACTATATACTACATAGTATAGTATAAAGTTGGGGTTTCTAAATATTGCCATATTGCATTGCTTTATTAAGAAAGGAGAAGAACATCTTCCCAGCACATGCTACACCATTCCAAAAAGAGTTTTTATTTCCATGTTTTGCAGGATATACCCAATACAAGAAGTTTAGAATTCAATTTTTACTTAATGAATTGATACTAAACACATTAAAGGGTGAGTCAAAGCTAATTATCAGCAGATACAAACACAAATGGCTTATAAGAGGAGGCAGCGGGATTGGATGAAGCAGCCAGGATTGCCAGGGACATGAACTTCATCTTAGTTAAAGCTTAGAGCTCAGTTCAGCTTTGAGGTCACGTCCTCCTGGGAGCCCAATACAGTCAGATCCTTTGCTTTTTCAGAATACACCTCACAAACACTGTCTACTTAGATTAACATCACAGGCACTTAGGGAGTTTGGGGGCTCAAGAAAGCAAGGGTAGGAGCAGCAGTAAGTGGAAGGGAGTGCAAAGGACAGGGTCAGGAGGGGTAAGGAAGGCTGAATGGAACAGGAAGTAAAGGCTCTGCTCCTGAAAAGACCCTCCTAAGTCCAGGCAAGGAGCTTGTGAGAGTGCCAAAACCCCGGTTCTCCTGCCCATGGGACTCCACTGAGGAATCATTTCCTTTTTGAATCAGCTCACCTCCTTACAAGTCCACCCTCCCCAGAAACCTTTGCCTGGAGCTGTTTCAGGACACCCTCCAGTGATCCCCTTCTTCCTTCACAAAACCCAGCTTTTCTTTAAAGGGAGACCACACCTCTCTTTCTACACTCTGGAATGACAGTCCCCGGTAGAGGTGATGTATAGATGTTCTTTTCCTTCGGCAGACCCCTGAATCAATGAAAAGTGCTGACTAGATTCTGTGCTGTTCTGCAAAACTCAGAGCATTCACACAGAGAGGAACCTGGGCACCCCCAGGGGTTGTTGCCAGGGCCAGGGCAGGAGGCAGGATGGCAGAGTCAGGCACCCAGCATCTGGACACGTTCTCCTAGGGCTGGCTTGCCATACTGCTTGGCTGTCCAAGTCCTGCCAAGCTATGTAACACTCGCTTCTCTGGCTTCATAGGATTTATAAAGATTTTTCCTCTTAATCCTGCTGGCTTTATTCAAAAGGAACACCATTTCTGAGGATTCACATTAATCAAGGGGTCACTCTGATCTGACTCTCTGGGCCCAAGCTAAGCTCGCCCTTCTAAGCTATGGTGAATTCTCTTAATCTGTTCAGCCAGTCTCCTTATGCTCTGTGCCCTGCCTTTTGCCCTGTTCCTGGCTTCTCTTTTATCCCTGCAGGTAAAGATGGCTCTCCTCACACTAAGGACACTTACTCTTTGTTGTAGTTGGGATGTCATCTGACGCTCCGCAGGTTCATTGTTGAGCCTGCTCCTAATGTGGTGGTGGTGAGGCAGTAGGTGGACCCTACTGAAAGATGGTTAGACTTTTGTTAATTCTCAGAAGGAATCAACAAAGTTATCCTGAGACCCTGTTAGCTCCCAAGAGAGTGGATGTCTTGGACCTCTTGTCCTACTATGTGACTGTTCTCTACCTCCTAGGCCACTCCTACCACGATGCCTCCTGCCATGTGTGACATAGCTAGAGGGCCTTCACTGGAGTCAAGCAGAAGCTAGTGCTCTTAACAGAACTGTAAACTTAAAAGAAACACAAACTGGGGTTGGACAGATGGCTCAGCGGTTAAGAGTACTGGCTGCTCCTGCAGAGGACCGGGGTTCAACTTCCAACACTCACATGGCAGCTAACAACCTCCAATAACTCCAGTTCCAGGGAATCCAACACCCTCTTCTGACCTCCATGGGCATTGCACGACACAGGTGCACTTATACACATTTGGGCAATACACTCTTACAGACGAAAATAAAAATAAAACACACAAAGTTATTTCTTCAAAAAGTATCCAGACTCTGGTATTTTGTTTTAGTAGAAAACAAATAAACTCCTCCAAGCATTAGGTAGAATAGTGATGTGGGAAAAGTTACCAAGCCTCAGGTAGGAAACACCCACTTTATTTTACTTTATTTTACTTTTTTTCAGTACTAAGAACAGCACATGGGGCCTTGCAAATGCTAGGCAAGCACTCTACTGAGCTACATCTCCAGTCCTGAAGACTCCCCCTTTTAAATTCTTTACTGGACTAATTCATTTGAGCCTGGCTTTCAAATCTGTAAAATAGAGATACTTGTGCTTGCCTTTATCAGTAATTCAACACAAAGATGTATAAGGCAAACTTATTATAGCTATCTGAGGATGAAAAAAGCCAGGCTGGGGGAGTTGGGGAACTTCCTGTGGCTTCTGACCATGGTAGGAATAGGACAGTAGCCCTGCCTTTGGGACTTAAATGCCACATGCTGTGTGTCACCCTTTTGCTGCTGTCACTGTTGACTTCCTACTCTGTCCCCCTGGTCTCCCTGCCCCCCTTCCCCATTGTACCCTTTGGCCCCCAGCATTCACCCTTCCCCTCCACTCCATTGCCTTCCCCTCCCCCTCCCCTTTTGTTTCCAGTCACAAGACATCCTTTCTAGTTCCCTGCCTTTAATCTTAGTTATCTACACCAGACATGCATATTTAACAGTAAGAGGCTCAGATCCCAATAGAGGGAGAATACATAGTATTTGTCTTCCAGAGCTGGGTTACCTCACTTAAAACAATATTTTCCAGTTCCATCCATTTTCCTACAAAATTTCATTTTTTTTACCACTGAATAAAATTCCATTGTATATACAAACCACATTTTTATTATTCTCTTCACCTGTGTGTGGACAAATACTTGACTGTGTTCTCTTTATCTTTTAGGTGAACAATGTAGAAGTTTCTCGAGGCTAGTGCCAGCTGAGGATCAAGGTAATTCCATACCATTTATTTATTTATTTATTTATTTATTTATTTATTTATTTAGAGACAGAGTCTCACTATGTAGACTAGGCTGACATGGAACTCACAGAGATCTGCCCACTTCTGCCTCCCAAGTGCCAGGATTAAAGTGTGTGCCACCATGCCTGGTGCTCTTTATATTTTTTAAATATTCTTTATTTTTATATTATGTGTTTGAGTGTTTTGCCTGCATGTATGTAAGTGCACCACACATGTGTGCAGTACCCATGAAGGCCAGAAGAAGGCATCATCAGATTCTCTGGAACTGGAGTTTTGGACAATTGTTAGCTACCATGTTGGTACTGGGAACTGAACCAAGGTCCTCTGCAAGAGCAGTCTATGCGCTTAACTACTGAGTCATCTCTCCAGCCTCTATACATCTTCTTTAAAAGGGCAGAGACAATATCCCCTATCAGAATCAAAATAACTCCTTAACTCTTAAGCTAATGAGTGGAGATCCACAGGTAAATGGATGGAACTAGAAATTGTTATACTAAGTGAAGTAACACAGACTCAGGAAAACAAAAGACATATATTCTCCCTCATTTGTGGATCCTAGCACCAAATCTTTATATATGAGTATATATCCTGTTGTAACTGCAGGAACTAGGAAAATAGAAGAGAATCAGGGAGGTAAAGTGAAAGAAGGGACCCAAGAGAGAAGAATGGTAGTAGAAAGGTATTACTAAAGGAGAAATGTATTAAATGGGGGTAGTTAAATGGGAGGGGAGAGAGAGAGCTATACAAGGAACCATGGGGATAAAGGGGAAGGAGTTCAAGAGCGGTGGGACCACAGCAGACAGGAATTATCAAGGTGAAATGGGGACACTTTAAATGGGGAGGGCAGGGAGGGAGGATAAGACAAAGAGAGAGAGAAGAGAGATAATAGTGCCTAGCTAGTATAAAAAAAACAGAGGAAATTGTATTAGTCCAAAAACCTACTGAAAACTACATATGCAATGTCTGTACATAAGTCCATGTATACAGCTGAAGGCTACATTAAAAAAAAAAAAACAGTACCAGACAGGAGAACCCTTCCTTTGAGTTGTTAGCCAGGGTAGTCCAAGAGACTCTCAAAATTACACAGACCATTGCCATAGTCCTTGATTACCTCCCAGAATTTGAAGGTAAGACCCTATTGGTGAAGACAGGACATACTTTAGACACAGGATTTGGAGCAATGGAGCTGGAACTGACCTGGAAGCCACCTCCCTGAATGTTAACTCTCATAGCTTTGGAGAGTACTGCCCAAGTTGGTAAGGAAAAACATCAATCAATGATCTAACCCCAGCTTCAAGACCTAAAAACCACATCAATGCGTAGCAAATGACATTGATGCAGTAGTGACACTTTTATCTTGGGGGTAATCAACAGCTACCTAATAGGACTTAAAGCCCACTCAGTGGAAGGAAACTCATGTGTGGTACTGTAAACCTAGCCAGATACACATAGCTGGAGAGGTCATAGTCTTAGAGAAAACCCCAAGGTTGTCACATCCCTAGACAAATATAATTTCTTACTATGTACAAAATATGTATCCTTAAATTTACAGATAAAAGCCAGGTGTGGTGGTGCGTGCCTTTAGTCCCAGCTCTCAGGAAGCAGAGGCAGGCAGATCTCTGTGAGTTCAAGGCCAGCCTGGTCTACATAGTGAGTTCAGGCCAGCTGAGGCTACAGGGAGACCCTGTCTCCAAAAGACCAAAAAAAAAAAAAAAAAAAAAAAAAAAAAAAAATACAAACAAGTATCCCAGTCACCACTCATCAAAGAAACTTCTTTTTCAACCATCAGAAATTATTACAGAGCTCCACAACTGGTCACACACAGACATTGTCTGTGAATTGCCCGAGCCTAAGTGGCACATCTATGATGCAACCTCTACACCTAAGGCTCACGGAACACAGAACAAGGGATGAAGAGAACACTAATGCATCTTTCAGTTCTCACCAATGAAGCTCCCTCATGCAGCAGAGGGCCAGGAACACAAAGGTTACAAATAGCCAAAACATAGAGAATACAAGTCTACAGAGTGTGGGTCCTCGGCAGGACTCCTATATTAAAATCCACCCACCCGGGGCTCAGGGACCATTTCAGAAGGTGGGGTAGAAAGATTGTAAGAGCCAGGGAGGAGGTGCATGACCATATGCAAATGGAGTCCTACAGGCTCCTGGGACCCTTCTCATATGAATCTACAGCAATGGTGTCAGCATGCACAAGGCCCATGCAAACTCAAGCAGACAAAATCCCAGCACAGAATTGTGGAAATGGACAGCAGGCCCCAATCTTAATCAAAGAATTATTGCCAGCTGATTACTGCTGGGTGAGGAAGAACTGATCTTAAAGGGGGGACTCTAGATAGGCTGACTAGACCTCAGTGGATGAACTTGCACTGAGGGACATCTGGGGACACTAACTTAACATGATATTAACACAAATGATGGAATGTATGAATTCAAGGAGTGGGGACTATGGGGAAGGGGGTATAAAGATGGTTAAGATGTTCTGTATAAAATTCACAAAAATTCAATGAAAATTTTTTAAAAGGAGTAGAGGTCTTCAAACCTTTCATATCTCCCACCAGAAACATTTGCTTAGGTTTTTCTTCCCGACTATGGGCAGTCTTTACATAAGGTCCTGAGAGCCTGCTGACCGGCCAACTTCCCAGGACTCAACAGAGGTACCTGTGGTCTTCACGCCAAAGCTTTGCTGTGATGGCACTTTTCATGTCACTGTGGCTGCTATGGTTTAGCGTGTCCACAGGGAGTTCCTGAGACTGGGTCCTCAGAGTGAAGATGCTGAAAGGCGATAAGGGACTTTTTGAGGTCATTGGGGCAATGCTCAGGAGGAATTGATGTAGTTTCTAGGCGATACCAAGCTAGTTCTGATGAGAGGGTATTAGAAAAGAACAAACCTGGCCTCGCCCATGTCCCTCTGGCTTCCTGTCTCACCCATGGTCTCTCCTTCCTGTGTATTGTCCCATCACAATGACATGCCACGAGATAAGACAGCCAAGAAGGCTTTTGCAAAAACAGGCCCATGCTGTTTGGTCTTTTCAGTATCCAAAATCATGAGCTGAATAGACCTTTTCACTTTACAAAAATATCTAGTAGCAACAACAACAAAAAAAAAATGGATTAATGTAGAAGTGACCAAAATTAAAGAATTGAGCCTTCAGTTCTGGATTTGGAATGCCCAGGGTCACTCTCCTTTCTGCCTGTAGGTGTCCTGTGGCTCTCCATTGGAGCTGAGGTTTTGGAAATCTTTCTGATACTGACAGTTGCCCTACTCCTGGGCTCCAGAGTGAGTTGTTACAGCTCTGGGTGCAACTGGCAAACGGTGGATGCCTCAGTGGCCATCCTTATGGCGCTTGCAGGTATTTTCTAACATCATCATCAGAGCAGGCTCCTCCAGCCCATTCCAGAGAAGACAGAGAATAGGCTGGCTCCCTCCTGTCACTGCCCAGTTCAACGGAATAGCTGGTCTTCTGGATCAATCATTGGATTGATCCCACTGAGTGGAAGAGATGTTGAAAAGGAGAAAGATAGGCACAGGAAGAGAGTGACATTTAGGAATCCTCCCAAGTTCAGACCTCTGCTACTTAATAGCTATGAGACCCTGGGCAAGTTAGTAAACATCTCTGAGTTAACAGTCATATCTAGGCTATGGTGATAATCAAATAGGAATATACCAAATATATACACTTTAGTGTTTAAAAAATTATTACCTGTTTGATATAAATATTCCACACAGAACTCTTTTTATTTATTTTAATACCACCTCTGTTCTCCAAGCAAATTTTATAACAACTTAGCTCAGTCTCTTAAAGTCCCTTAGGTGGATGTTTCCTCCAAGAAAAAACCCCGAATGTATGACTTCCTCCAGGTCTCCAGCTGATCACACAAAGCTCTGTTTGTGTTGTATCTATCAGTCCAATGCCCACATCACTGATGTGTTTCATAAGCACAGCACAGCTTGCCCAAGCCTTAGTATCAGTGAGCAGGAAGATAAAATCCAGTTTCTAGATCTTCATAGCAAAGAGCTAAACCACCAACCTCCTGCCCTAGTCTCAGCATCCACTATGGTCTTCTTGATTGTGACCAGGCCTTTTTCTGGATGTCCCTTCAGTTTCAACTGTGGGAAAGAGATGCCAGATGGCGTGTTTAAGGATGCCTAAGTATGGACACATCGTAAGGATGTGCAGGTGCTGGGGTGCTCCCAACATCCAGCACTTGAGGGTAGACAAGCTTATCCACTGTGTTGTTTTCTTAACTGTGGCTCATGAAGCTTTCCTTGTGCAGGGCTCCTAGACATGGTGGCCCACATGATGTATACAACTATTTTTCAAATCACCGTGAACCTGGGACCAGAAGATTGGCGGCCTCAGACATGGGAATTTGGCTGGTCCCATTGGTAAGTTGCTTGAGCTGGCAGACCAAAAGAGATGGACATCGGTTTTGTAGGAAAATAGCCGTTAGTCATAGTACCAGTGCCTGCTATTCTTGTGGCTGTTGGCTGGTATCACAACCTTTCTATAGCCCAGTCCCCTCATCCATATAGTGAAGCTACCTGCCTCAATCATTTTTTAGAGATTTAAAGAGGTTGTATTTATAAAATACCTGGCAAATTATAAAGTCCTCAAAGAAATGGAGATGTTGCAGTTAGTACATTCTTAAACACGGGTTGAGGAATATTGTCCAAGCTAGAACTCGTAATATTTTATGGAGGGGGAGACCCAGCTTCTGTTTTTATCGAAGATAAGGCCATGAGAGGTAAGTTCTGCCTCTAACAAAAAGACTCAGTCATACCATGTGAGACCACAGGGGTTTGTGTCTTCTCATTTTTGCAGTGCTGGAGATCAAACCAAGGGACTCCCACACACTAGGCAAGTACTCGAACCTGCAGCCCAAACCGGAGCCTCTCTTTGGCATGGACCTCCAAATAATACTGTGTCTTAAAATTAGATGTACCTGTACACTTTTCATCCTACATGGAAGTCTCTTAATACTACAAGAAAGTTGCAGATTCAAAATGGAATCACTGATGTCAAAACTTGATAAAATAGAGTTTTTAAAAAAGCCCACAAAGGGAGAGCCCAATAACCAGAACTATTCAAAGAAAATCTTCCAAACAGCAGTTTACTACAGGGATAGTTAGCCATTTGAACAACCTAACACACTGTCTCATGCTTGATCCCAGACTACAAAAGGGCCAAACTGTAGCGCCAAGATTACAACTCTTACCTAGCAACTACTGATACTAACCAATCATGACTCACCTGACAGACACAGCCAGTACCAACAGCCTTTCTACAAAATGACTAATCTCTTTTCCTTTGTTCTCCAGATGTGCCAGAGTGTCACCTGACTGTACCTGTCTCTAGTTTCACTCTTATTCTTTGTTTATCCCAAATAAAGCCTTTTACTTAGAATTGCCTTTATATTTTTATTTGATGCTGATAGTTATTTTCCTGTCTTTAGAACCCAAATAGCACTGGCTCCCTCATCCCGCCATTCTAGACTATGTCTTTAATGCCCTGACCCTTACGTTTCTCTTTAACTCTTCTTGTGGCCTTGCGAGTCTGAAGATGTTCATTTTCACAGTTGCTTCTCCATAACCATCCATTCCACTTTGGTGACGTGAGTGGTCACCCTCACCATTCTAGACTATGTCTTTAATGCCGTGACCCTTACGTTTCTCTTTAACTCTTCTTGTGGCCTTTTCACAATTGCTTCTCCATAACCATCCATTCCACTTTGGTGACGTGAGTGGTCACCCTCTCAACTGGCGCTCTCAGTTCTGAGGAGACCTTGCTGGCACTGTGCACGATTGGCTGGAAGATCTATTAAGAGATGACTATTTAATTCCTTGCATATCCAGGAAGGAATTTATTCAATGCTCTGTATTGACCATTCAACAAAATGCAGAAAAGTCTGTTGACAAAGATTTTCCCTTGGAATTTTGAAGGCTCTGTTTTCTTCTGGCCTGCAGTGTCCTCTCCAGAATTTATCACCATTCTGATTCGTGGTCTGCTGTTTCCTTTTAAAAATGTCAAGATGTTCCTCTGTGGGAATTTTCTTTTTGTCACATCCATTTTTTTCACACGCTTGGTAAGCCCCTTAGCTTGTGTCCTACAAGCCTGAGAAGTTTTCTTTTGTTATTTCTCTCATTATTTCCTCTCCTCAGTTTTCCGTTCTCTTGACTCTTGTTAGCTAGCTATTAGATCATTTGGGTTAATTAGTACTTTTCTTATCCTTTCTCTTTTTCTTATATTTTCTAAGAAGTTTTCCTCTGCTTCTCTTCTAACCTTAATATCGAATTCTTAGTTTGGATCATTTAATTCCCAGGAGATCTTCTTTGTCTGTTTAGTTGTTTATTTTCCTGATCTTGCTTTGTGGATGCAACATCTTCCTGTCTCCCTTCCTGTTGCTGTCTTGTTTCTGGAGCTCTCTCTCCTTTGGAACTCTTTACCCCTGTTTGTTATTGGACCTCCCTCAGACACTGGTGTCCTTGATTGTGAAGTCATATTTCAGGATAACCGAAGGCTCTGGGGCAGGATTAGAACGTATCTACTGGTAAGCTCTGTGTATTTGTTTGGGTATGACACTATCTACTTCATGTGGAAATTCTATCCCATACACATACACACACACACACACACACACACACACACACACACACATTGTGTCAATATGTTCTTTTCCTGCAACCCTTCAGTGTCTTCAGAGGGAATTACCCGGTACCTGCAGGAAGTGAGTAAGTTTATGTGTCTGGCTGATGAATTCTGGGGTTAAGTATGAGAAAGGTTCAGAACAGCTTCCTGATCCATATATATACCTTTTCATGCAACTCCTGTTTTCAGACCAACTTTCCCCCTTGCCTTCCACAAGGCTGTCTGTCTCTGAATCTGGGCCCTTTGCACCCATGCAGGTGCAAAGAAAAATAAGCCTGCGTTCTCCTAGGCACAGAAGGTAGGGGAGTGTTTGTGGTATGGAGGACATCTGGGAGCCAGACAGCTTCAGACTTTTACTCAATTTCCTGAGTGTGTGTGTCTGTGTGTGTGCCTGCCTCAAAGTGTTAGCCTCTCAAGGACTCGGTAGGGCAAATCCAACAGACTTATATCTTGTCTCCTGGGGGAGGGGGCAGGCAGGGGGATCTGCCCTGTAAACACTGTGTGGAGCGCCTACCCCCTGTGACATAGTCATTGCTCTGGAAATTGCCTTCAATCCTCTCACATCTCCTTCCCTTCTCTTTGGCCCTGTGAGTTCACACTGATAGTCTAATACCGTCCCTTCAGTAGGCTGTGGAGGGTCACAATGAGCTCTTGAAGTCAGTCTTTCATTTGAACCTAGAAGTCTCTCTCCCTTGCCATTTTCCATGATGGGCAGAATTTTATCTGATTTGCTTCAACAACAAAGCTGCCCATTGTCTTCATAAAAGGATGCCCCCATCCTAAGATGTACCTAACGGCATAAAACAGCATTCCCATGAATAATGGTAGTGCCCACCCAATAACATATTCACTGCCAGGGCTTATTCCGACTATTTCCCCATCCTGCCTCCATTTAAACCAGAATAAGGAAAACCTGCTAAAGAAAACATTAAGGCCAGAGTGCTGAGGGACAGCCTGGTCTCAGTGTCAGGACACAACAGAGTCCAGCGAGCGAACAGTCAGGGTTATGGGGTCCAGAGTCAAATGCAGGACGGCCCACTTTCTAAGTGGTGACTATAGACATGCTTACCTTCCCTGGCCTCAGCCTCTGCATATGTGAAGTGGGGAGGCTGCTATAAGGTCACGTTAGAGAATCCAGAGTTCATCACCTCATATAGTAATATCAGCATTCACCCACATGTGTGTCTGCTCAGCTTTTCCTGTTGGTCTTCTCTAAGCTTCTCTAAGGAACCCTGGTCCATATGTAGCCCTTCTATCTTATGGTAATGTGAACATCTGACACGCTTTAGCATGAAGCAGATGCTAATTGCTATGATTCCAATACAGTGCTGAGTTCTACAAAAGAAGAAAAGTGCAGACCATTATCTGAGAAGGAAGCAGTTTCCAGCCTGCAAGACGATCTGAGTAGCCAGGTTCAACACCAGCATCCTGAGTTAGCACCAACAGCCATAAGTTATACCTAGGCACAGAGGGTACTATGCTAAGTCCTTCCCATATGTTATCTTGTCCAGTTCCTCGAATTCTCTGCAGCAATCCCATGTGACAGATGGCACTGAGGATATTCCAGTCTAGCAATGAGGAAGCTGATGGGAACAGGTAAAGGCATGGGTTCAGGCCACAGAGAAACTAAGCAAAGCTTTTGTACAAACCAAGCACAGGGAATCCACACCAGATCTCTTAAGCCACACCACAATAACCATCTCTGGGGCCTGGAATGCAAACTGCAAGTTCCCACTAGGGGATTCAGAAGGTGGCTGACCCCAGGGCAGCTCTGGAGTCATAGTCCAGGCCTTTCCTAACCATGACTTTTGTTGCAGCCTTGCCTGGGGATTCTTTGCCCTCTGCATGGCTGTGTCTGTCGCCACCATGAGCAGATACACCATAGCCCACACAGAATGTTTAGAGAAGACCAGGACACAGAAAGGCAGTTGTCACCCACAGCACAACACCTCACAGCCTGAGGCTTCACAGCGTGTTTGGCAAACAGGAGCTGCTCCCAGCCCTGCTGGACTTGTCCTCACGAAGGTTTTTGGGCACCTACCCTCAGGTGTCACAGGCAAGGTGTCTGTGTGCTAGGCAGTGGCTTTTGGCTGCCAGATCTGCACATGCAGATGAGTCAGGCACTTGAAAACACAGTGAACACTTCTGGGATGGGATTCAAAAGACTAAGATACAGGTAAGTCTTCCACTACCCACCTCAACCTCCATTAGACATCTCTGGCTTCAGCCTCTCATGCCTCTTAAAATGCCAGTATTTTTAACGAAGATAATGTTTATAGATGATAACAACTATTCTGACTCCCTGACAGTGAGTATAATAAAGTTCCCAAAGGAAGAGGAATCATGAAAGTTCTACAGGGAAGAGAAGAAGATGGGATAGACAGCTTTTACAATGAATGTAAAATGTGTTGCCCACACAGATGTAACAATAGAAAATCCCAGAATATTTTTTTCTAATCCACACAGAAATGTGTGCCCATCCTATGCATCTTAATTTTCATCAAGAAGTTAGAAATTTTTTAAATGAATTTTCTTGCTTAAAAATATTTTTTCTTACATCTGAGCAGCACTTTCTGCTTAGAAACAAATAAAAGCACTTTTCTTTGGAATTTCATAATATCTACTTACAGTAAAGGCAGTTTGGAAGGATGGTAAAATGACAGAAGGAGATAAAAACATAGTCAAATGGAATAACATCTTATCACAGTGAAGTGGAACAAATGTTTGGATTGTCCTGCTTAAATTAAATCACCAGGCATTTTTGCTTCTAAAAATAAACTCTGCCAAGCTCGCAGGCCTTGTGTGAGGCAGGGTTGTGCTCTGGGTTTCCTGGTGGGTTCAGCTACGATGTTCATCAATCTATTTTGGGCTTTACACCAACAGATGATTGAGCCACAGATGGTCAGACACACAGAGTGTTTTGGGAAATAAAACGGACTGTGAAATTCCAACAAACTTCAACACACCCTAGCTCAGAATCATTTTTTAAAACTGTACCTATATACTTGGTAAACATGTTTCTGATTTTTAAAAACCATATGCTTATAATAAACAATCTGCTTATGCTGAAATTAGATTTTACTGTCAAATAGAAAAGGAGAAAACTGCAACTAACTTAATGTTTGTGATTCAAGTTGAACATCTAAAAATTGTCAATCCAGCAGAATGTGTGTTTTATTTTACAGTTCTTGGTAGCTTTGACTGAAATGTGTGTGTCTCAGAGATACCTGTTGGGGTTCTCAGCACTTTACTCCCCTAGATCACTAGGACTGATGCCCAACAGCCTCTGCTTGTGCAATGTGTGTGCTCTTTCACAGGGTCTGTCACCTGCCTATTCAGGTGGATCGTGTGTAGATTTGAGTCTAATCTGCCCCGAGAGAAAAAGGAACTCTCTAGAGTGTTCCCAAAGAGATACTTGTAAACAAATATATGGGGTACCGCAGCTGGAGATGCCAAGGAAGAAATGAATTTTCTGGAACCTGTGAGCAAAAGTGGTGTCAAAGGAACCAGTGACTGATATAGACATCAGAGCAGAAAGGTCATCTCTGAAGCTCAAGTCGAATAGATTCTTGAGCTCCAAGGGCACTTCACATCCTTTTAGAATCTTAAAATGTTGGTTGTGTGGCAGGTGTGATGGTGCACACTTGTAATCCCGGCTCTGAGATAGGAGGATAGTGAGTTTGGGGTTAGTAACAAAAAGTGCACCGTGAGGTTCTTTCTCAAGAAAGAAAATCGGTTGTGTTGAAGTAGAACACATGAAGAGAAAAGTATCTAAACCAGATGTGTACAGCATAGGGAGCTTTCAGAGAGTGGCTGTTTGCTCCCTGGTCAAAAAACAGAACCAAGGCATGTCATTGCCATCTGTCTCTGCCAAAAGACAGACACTGCTGCATTTAAATTCTTCAGTGTATTGAAATGATCTTTGTATATCTGTTCCCCTTTATAGATTATAATTTTCTCTATGTAAGAACTGCTCCTTATACTCCAGCATCTAAAATAGTGATTAACAATTGCATATATATGTATATATGGTATATATATGCTTATATATATACCATATGTATATATGATATATATATGCTTATAGACTCTCTCAGATAACATTTTAAAAAATAATTTCATGGGAAAACAGCTCATGATTAAGAATGTGCCAGCTCATCTGCTTGTTTTGATTTGGATGGCTCCAAAGTTTCATTCATTGAAGACCTGGTCCCCAGCCAGTAGCACTGTTAAAAGTGATTGGATCATGAGGCCACCAACTTCATCAATGGGCTAACCCATAAGCAAATAGCTGAATGGGCTATTAGAAGGTGGGGCCTAGTTGGAGGAAGTAGGTCACTGGGGATGGGGTGTGACTATTCCTCGTTGCTTCCTGTCTCTATTTCCTGGCTGCCTTGAGGTGAGCAGTGGTCTCCTGGCATACCCTTCCATCACAATGTTTCTCTGACTACCACTAAGAAACAGTGGAACCAGCCAGCCATGGACTGAAACCATCATCAAAATAAATCCTTCCTCCTTTAAGTTGTCTTGACCAGGTATCTTGTCACAGCAACAGAACACTGGCTCCTCACTCTGACCTTGTGTGAGTTACTTAATCTTTCTATGCCTTTTTTTCCTTCTCTTTAATGTTTGTGATTCAAGTTGAACATCTAAAAATTGTCAATCCAGCAGAATGTGTGTTTTATTTTACAGTTCTTGGTAGCTTTGACTGAAATGTGTGTGTCTCAGAGATACCTGTTGGGGTTCTCAGCACTTTACTCCCCTAGATCACTAGGACTGATGCCCAACAGCCTCTGCTTGTGCAATGTGTGTGCTCTTTCACAGGGTCTGTCACCTGCCTATTCAGGTGGATCGTGTGTAGATTTGAGTCTAATCTGCCCCGAGAGAAAAAGGAACTCTCTAGAGTGTTCCCAAAGAGATACTTGTAAACAAATATATGGGGTACCGCAGCTGGAGATGCCAAGGAAGAAATGAATTTTCTGGAACCTGTGAGCAAAAGTGGTGTCAAAGGAACCAGTGACTGATGTAGACATCAGAGCAGAAAGGTCATCTCTGAAGCTCAAGTCGAATAGATTCTTGAGCTCCAAGGGCACTTCACATCCTTTTAGAATCTTAAAATGTTGGTTGTGTGGCAGGTGTGATGGTGCACACTTGTAATCCCGGCTCTGAGATAGGAGGATAGTGAGTTTGGGGTTAGTAACAAAAAGTGCACCGTGAGGTTCTTTCTCAAGAAAGAAAATCGGTTGTGTTGAAGTAGAACACATGAAGAGAAAAGTATCTAAACCAGATGTGTACAGCATAGGGAGCTTTCAGAGAGTGGCTGTTTGCTCCCTGGTCAAAAAACAGAACCAAGGCATGTCATTGCCATCTGTCTCTGCCAAAAGACAGACACTGCTGCATTTAAATTCTTCAGTGTATTGAAATGATCTTTGTATATCTGTTCCCCTTTATAGATTATAATTTTCTCTATGTAAGAACTGCTCCTTATACTCCAGCATCTAAAATAGTGATTAACAATTGCATATATATGTATATATGGTATATATATGCTTATATATATACCATATGTATATATGATATATATATGCTTATAGACTCTCTCAGATAACATTTTAAAAAATAATTTCATGGGAAAACAGCTCATGATTAAGAATGTGCCAGCTCATCTGCTTGTTTTGATTTGGATGGCTCCAAAGTTTCATTCATTGAAGACCTGGTCCCCAGCCAGTAGCACTGTTAAAAGTGATTGGATCATGAGGCCACCAACTTCATCAATGGGCTAACCCATAAGCAAATAGCTGAATGGGCTATTAGAAGGTGGGGCCTAGTTGGAGGAAGTAGGTCACTGGGGGTGGGGTGTGACTATTCCTCGTTGCTTCCTGTCTCTATTTCCTGGCTGCCTTGAGGTGAGCAGTGGTCTCCTGGCATACCCTTCCATCACAATGTTTCTCTGACTACCACTAAGAAACAGTGGAACCAGCCAGCCATGGACTGAAACCATCATCAAAATAAATCCTTCCTCCTTTAAGTTGTCTTGACCAGGTATCTTGTCACAGCAACAGAACACTGGCTCCTCACTCTGACCTTGTGTGAGTTACTTAATCTTTCTATGCCTTTTTTTCCTTCTCTGCAAAGTGGGAACAATGATGCTACCCATATGAATGACTGTGGGGACTGGGTGTGTCAGTGAAGAAGCGTGAAGATTATAGAACAGGGTCTGGCACTCAGTTAACACAGTGGGAAGGCAAACTATTAGCAGCTGCCAAGTTTAAGCACTTCCATAGGTTCTGTGGGCACAGAAGACACACTTGGGGGCCCGGGGGGTGTCCTAAGCCTTTGCAGATGAGTTGGAGGGACAATAGTGAAAAGCCCAGTGGCCAAGACCCAGAGAGAGCAGGGATCAAGGGGTGCCAACTTATGGTGGTTTGAATGAAAATGTCCCCCATAGGTTCCAAATATTTGGACATTTCATCCCCAGATGGTGGTGCTCTTTTGGGGGGGGGGCGGTCTTAGAAGGTATGACTATCCTAAAGGAAGCACATCACTGGGGGTGGGCTTAGAGAATTCTTAAGCCTTGCCACATCTCCAGTTGCTCTCTTGCTTCCTGTACTTGCGTGATGATGTGAGAGCTTAGCTTCTGCTGCTCCTGCTCCAGCCACCTCCAGCCACCATGCCTCCCTGCCATGATAGACTGTAATTCTCCTGGAACTGTAAGCTCAAATAAACTCTTCCTTCTATAAATTGCTTCGGTCAGTGTTTCTATCACAGCAACAGGAAAGTGACTAATATACAACCCATCAGCCATTTTAGCCTGAACTATCTCTGTCCTAGGTTAACATGTCAGTGAGTTTTATTAGTGTCTACAATGTTACAGGCACCACCCATTTCTCCTAGATGAAAGAAGTTAGAACTTCTTTCCTGGTATTAGCAAAAATACCTGCTGAGGCCAGTGCTTGAAGAACTGGCCTGCAGCCAGCATCTACTTATACCAGGAGACAAGCAGTGCCCAGGTGTCAACTGTTCTGCACAATGAGCCATCACTCAATGAAACCCCATCTGGACCTCAGTGACCTTCC